GTCAATCTGCATTTGTTTCAAGCACATGTGTACTAAAGCAGATGCGGGAAGCGTCACGAATGTGGACAAGAGGCCTCATTACTCAGAAAGGCTGGAGCCTGAGGTTCATAAGGAGAGAGGATTGGAAAGGTAAGGCAGGGACAGATCATGAAGGGCCTTGGAGGCTACACTAAGCAGTTTGGGTTTCATCCTGAAATGCCACTGAGGGACTTTTAGCAGGTTGATGACTTTTTATTTTCTTTACATTCACTTCACTCCCCCCCCCCCCCTTAGTTCCTATTATGACCACCCCACCTGGTGGCAGGGAGGAGGAAGAATGATGAGAGAGTGAGGATGGAAGAAGGGGGACTCACTGAGCAGTTGCTGCAACAATGACCCAGGTGAGAAATGAGGAAGACTGAACAGATGCTGGTGATGATTGTCCAACTCTTCATATTATGATTGAACTATTGAATTGAATGATTTGTGAAGTATATGCCACTAAATCTGTTTAAAAAAATGAAGAACGACCAGATGTAAGAAAGATTTAGGATTCAAAATAGGCAGGACTCCACAAGCAGTCTCTCAGGCAACTTCCAGCCAGACTCCAACCTAAAGACGGTACTAACTCCCTGGCCCACAAAACCCAGCTTTCTGCCAATAATGCTCCCCTTTTCGCAGTTCAAAATACTATAATTCTGTGTTTCAAATGGTCAGCGGAGACAGGCTAAAAAGGAAACAAGATCTGCAAGGGAAACAATTCTTCATAAAATCCATGCCCTGCCTATGTGGCCTTCTGAGTTCCCAAAGCACCTTCCATTGTCTCAGATGGCTCTCACTTCCTTAGCTTCCTCTGAGAACGCAAGTCTCTCCGCCCTGAAGAGTAAGTGGCTCCTTCTCCACATAAGGTCTGTTTATTATTTTCATGGGCATCTGGACAAGTTAGTCCTTGGTTAAAAATCTTTTTGTAGAAAGTGTCATTTTACTTCCCAAATCAGATCTACAATGACAAAATAAGCAAAAAGCAAAGCTAGCTACCGGATGTGAAAAGACACCACAGTCAAGGGAATATTTATCTATCTATCTATCTATAAACTTTCCATTGCTTTGTGTGTTTAAATTACAGACAGGATATTTCTTTGAAATATGTATATGTATATGTACACATACCCCTACACACACACACACACACACACACACACACACACGGGCCACTATCTATATGGGTGCTTCTGCTATTTCTAGCAAAGTAGCTCCATTTTATTTGAAGACGGCTTTTCCTTCAATAAAAAGATACCATGTCGAGAAGCAGTTTCAAATGTGAAGTTACTCTGAATACTTATACCTTAACTCAAATAAACACTTTTCTCTTCAATAGGGTACCCAGTCGACTGGTTCACTTTCTGCGTGGTACATTCCATTTGCCCCAAGTTAGCAGTAGTTAAGAAGCCTACCTCTGTTATTCACGGCATAAAAAGAAGTAGTGATTCATAGCAAAACAAAGCATACCTGACAGAACTTCAGTCAAGCCCGTGAAGAATGAGTTGACAAAGGAAACTTTTTTTGGTTAAAAATCTGTTTTTTTAAAAAAGATTCATTTTAAAAGAACACGTTGCAAATGTGAAACTATCAATCAAGTGTTTCAGCTTGCAGACCATAAAGACATCATTGTGTAAACGTGGTGTTAACACTGGCAACACTGTGTACAAAATGTTTCTACAATGTAACATGTGGTGGCACAGTGGTTAGGTGCTCGAAGGCTGCTAAACGGAAAGGTTGGTAACTCAAAACCACTAGTGATCTGCAGGGGAAAGCTGTGGCAGTCTACTTCTCTAAAGATGACAGCCTGGGGAACCCCACTGGGGAGTTCTACTCTGTCATGTGGGGTCACTGTGAGTCAGAATCGATGGATGGACAAATAAAAGGCCATCCCTGCAGAGGTGACTGCAGGTAACAGATATAACCAATGTTAAAAGATCATGTGGCATGTACGATGAAGTATGCAGTCAACTGGCACTATGTCTTCAGGGAAATGCTAGATTCACCTACATAACAGTATAAATGCACGAAAAAATTCCAGTCACAGTGAATTTTTCACAACGCGATTTATTGTCCGAGCTTGTAAGTGGATATACTGGGAAGACTTACATGCCTATTAGGGAAAATCCTCCCCCGCACCATCCAAATTCACAACTCATGCCTGTTTTACCACCATTAGCAAGGAGCTTTCTAGTAAAATATCGCCCTCATTTTGCAGTGTTTAAAGGTGGTTGTAACCAAGACTTGACAAAGAAGCAGCTATTGTAAGACGAGACAATGGCTCTCCCACCTCAGAGAAATTTAAAAACACACTTCTCATTATTCTGCAGAAAAATGAACTGCAGAGAAATCTATCTAATATTTTGATGAAGAAAAAATAGCCCCCTGCTCCACACTCAATCCCAAAGAACCTCAAAATTCTAACACAGAATGAAGTTTTAAGTAGGGACTAAGATGCCTGCTGACGATTGCAGAAAGACCTATTTGAGAATCAGTGTGACAGACCACAGACACGTATGGCTCCAAGCCATTAGAAGGAGAAACATTTGACTACATTTAAAAACATATATATATAAATCACCAGACGCTCTAAAATTTCAACCCTTTCACACTGGGTAGATTCTAAATGCCAAAGAGCCAACCATCACCGCAGGCTGAGGGGAGGGAAGAGTGGGGGTGAGCAGGAGGGGGTGACTGAAAGCCTTGGAAAAGGAAAATGTTCCGGAAATATGACCTATCATTAGCAAAATGACAAGAACACCGTACAGATCATAAACCATTTCCTAGGACATGTAGTTATCACATAAGATTAAAATGGGAAACCTGAATAACCTTGGGCGAGCATAAAGACTAAGAAAATATCTAATTATTGTCAAGCTGGAGCATTCCAGGAAGCATTGCCCTGTGTCTGGCATACATATGAAAATAAAATGTATCAAATTCAACCTGGAGGATTTTTTTTTCTTTTAAAAAAAAATGTAGTAAGTACACGACAGAATAAACAGCTACTGGATGAACTTTCCACTGAAAACAAAATCTTTCTTTCCCACCCAGTTCCTACAACAATCTGGAGTCTCAAAAATTCCCTGGATAAGTTACACAGCCACTAAAAATTGTAAGCATGAAGATTATGTAGCAACCCGGAAAAAGCCATGAGATAAAATAGGTGGAAAAAACAGAATGCCAAGGAACAGGACGCACTTAGAATGCTATGGGAAAGGGTGCATTGGTGCTGGTTATTAGAGCAAAGACTTTCTCTTTGCCAAGGATTCTGCACACACAACCATTTAAGTTTTATTAATTAAATATCATTTTTAAAGAGAGGAAGAAAGAAAGAAAAAAGGCATGGACCAAAACCTTAATGGTCCACACTAGAAATGATGGGTTCCTCTCTGTGCTGGTAGGCAGAGTGGGCAACTCCAGACTCCGGACATGCAAACATCTGCTTTTCTCTGGAGGGGAAAAAACTGGTCACACCCTTTGGGGAAACTGACATTTTTTAAAGCTTATGAAATTCTGAAAGCCATCTATCTCCATCTTTCTAAAGAGAAAAATGGAAAATGAAAAACAATGCAATGAAGCCAGAACACTTTTGGGGGTGACTTCATCAAGTGCATTAAAAATTAACCTCGCCTTTGTTTTCTTCTTTCCAAAGGAACACTATGTATGGCCAACCCTTGGTTGGCCTGCTACAGTCATTAAACACTTGATTCTGCTGAAAAGGGCTTACAATACATCTAGAGGACACCTCCTCAGCACTATTAAGATCATCCTGGGGGGAGGGTTTGGAGAGAAGATGCCTCGCAAAAGGCTTCAGGGAGTATGGTAATTTATAGTTTTGTGGTAATCTATAGTTCTTACACTTCAAATATATATGCGAGCAGGACGTTGGGGCAAGGTCGACCTGAGTTGAGCTCGCTCTGATCCAGCAGTGGTCAGCAAAGCCCTTCCAGATCTCTTCACCAGAGGAATGTAAATGAACCCAAGGAAATGATGGTTTCCCACCTTTTCCCCTGCAGGTCAGAACCCCGGGAATCCAATTCTGGAACATGCCTCTGGGCGCTTCGCACCGGCCGGTTCATCCCTCCCTTTCTTTCTCCCCTTCTCCAACCCCCCACGTGTCCCACACAAACTCCTTTGACATGTAAATAGGCCGGCAAAGTCTAAAATACCTAGCTTAGGTGGCTTGGGATCAGCATCCCGCCCCCACCCCTTCGAGCCTGGGCTGCAATCATCCCAGGGAGCAGTAACTAAGGTAACCGGACAAATTCCGGAGAAGAAAGAGAAAGCCTTTCTCCGGGCCTGGGCGTGGGGAGGCTTGCAGGGAGGACAGATTTGTCATTGGGTGGGGGTGGTTCCAGGCGACAGAAGTGAAAAAGCAGCCGTGGCAAAGGCCCCGTGGCCCCGCTGCCACGCTCTCAGCAGGAAGGGGAGGGAGCAGGAGGAAGAGGGATAAGGGAAAAAGGAGGCGAGGAAGCCTCAGAGGGCGGGAGATGGGGGCGGTGGCGGTAGGGGGCGGGGAGAGGGCGGAGT